ATGGCTCCTATCTGAGTTACGGTCCATCAAGGAGGCGGGGATCTATAAAATCAGTGACTGGAAAATTTGGTGTAGGGGAACCGGGATTACCCAGAGAAAACATACTTTTACTGGTTAGGGGCCAAAAAATTTACCTGACCAGTGCCCAATGAAACCAGAAAATGAAATAATGTAACATGAAAATAGAATGAGAGAAGAAAACAAAAACAGGCGGGAGAGGAATTATAAGTGTTGTTTGGCTAGTGCAGTAGGGTCTTCTTCTTGAGGAAATGCCCAAATGGTGGGCTCAGGCTGAAGGAGGCTCTGACGTTTGGGACGTTGTCATCTTCCATTCTTCCTCCTGACAATCACCACCAGAAATGCTCTCTGAAGGCTACATGATTTCCCCCTTTAACACCTGCTGTATCTTTGCACTGGAGATATCATTAGCACTTCAGAAAAACCTGCACAGTATTTGTTTAATCAGATTCACATTGTCTGTTTCTGTGTGGTGAAGAGTGGTCATAATCCTATTCAAAAAAAGTGGTCATATAAGTACATTCTACATAACTACTGCTTGCTTTCGAGACAGAATACAGTGTATTTTACATGTTGGTTTGACAGCTGCATTATATGGCAGCAAAGCACTAAATCTTGTCTTTAGTAAACTATAGCAAACCACTTGTGTACTTTCACAAGGCAAAAACTTGCAGTACACTGTCCATAGGTTGGTTTTAACTGGCACTGGATGACTTTTCTACTAAAACTCAACTCACCTGTTGAACTGATGAAATTGGAAGAGCTTGTGCAGTACATCTATTCCAAGGATGTCAATACCAGAACCAAGGTCTACTACAACTACCTTCATCCTATGACTCACACAATCTAGACATATTCAAAGACATGCCTCTCTATTCACATCTAATGTGCCACCCTTCACCAAATGGAAGTGAGTGGCCAATGAGTGGAATGATGGTTAAACCTGAAATGCCTGATACATGGCAGTATCTATTAGGGTTCTTGCCACTCCTGTGTCAACCAGGAATTCCATTATCCAACCTTATGTACCTTCACAGACATGTACCCAGTCTTACAGAAGTACTGACAAGTAATCTTATATTTAACATATAAAACCTAAAATATATATATATATATATATTTTTTTTTTCCTCAACATATTAAAGATTAATTTAATTACACTGAATTACCAATAACAAAATTATTATTATAATGAACACAACCACTTTCAACTGTCATTTTCGATGATACATTATATGATTTGGCACGGTAAAATATTTGTGCCAAAAATGGCACCTCGACATAAACTCAAGAAACCTATGTTGTAACGAAATAAAAAAACCTTCTGTTTGTACCTTGAATTTCTTTATATTCAACAAAAACGAATCACGTGACATTTGCAATTTTATTAAATATATATATGTTAATACTTTAACACTACTTATCTATAATTGTCCAAAACACTGAAATACAACTGAAATTCAATTCAATTCAACTTTATTGGTTTTAATTGTATGATAGGCTCCACAAACATACAGTTAAAAATTAATTTTGATAAATTTGAATTCAATACTCAATACACTGATGAAAAACAAATACTGATATTTGTTTAATTAAATTAATTTTTCTGACTTCATTTCATGAAAAAATACTAAAATATAATCAGATACAATTATTATGAAAAATCAAAACCATAATGAAACTACGTACTCTTATTCAAAGAAAATTCAAGGACTAAAATTGTACATTTCCAATATGTGTTACATACTTAATGTATGGTACACATTTCATAAAAGTTTGAATCAATATCATCATTCTATAGTGTTTTAAAAATAAAATAATACATAGTTATTAAATTTTAATATAATATGAAGCCTAAAATAAATCAGTAGTAAAATTTAAATTTTTCAATTTCAAAATAATACATTTATTTATAACAATTTTCAAGAATAATTTTAAATCAGCTGCAGAATCTCCACAAGATGTATTATTTCTTTTGTTTAATTAATGTATCAATCTAAAAGTACTTTAAATTGTAGGACCTCTAATGCATTTATTTTTTAGTTTTTAAGATAGTATTTCACAAAAAACCTAAAAACAATTCCATTCATTACAAGTTAAATGCTCTGATGGGTTTATGTGAACACATGATCACTGTAGTAATTATCCCATAACTACAGTATGACTCATCAATATTCTTCTGCTGTGTAACAACTTTAATCCCATCTAGTTTAGGATCAACTGGTGCTTTTTTAAGCCAAGAAATTTGACACCTGGGTGGCCGTCCCAGACGGCAATCATATAGGACAAGTATGTTCAGCAACAAGCACCCTAACCACTAGGCCATACCAGGCCCCTGACTCACCAATACTGGTGATAACTAATTTTTGTGTTGATTAAAAAATTACATTTATAATTTTTTTGGTTTTTAATTACTTTTGACTAGGTTTTAATCAGGTATTCTGTTCAGCAAAATGAAAAGTATACCCTTTTCTTGAGCTTTAAATAACATGCCAAGAGGTTGACATCACTTAATGTTCAAGCACAACAATGGGCTAGAAAAAGGTTAAAGTAATGTTCCTTCAACATACACATTCAATCTTCTGTAATAAGTACAATACTACAGAGCAACTGTATACTGGTTACATTAATTTAAGGTAAACGAAAATCTAAACTTAATATAACATTTATTCACTTTTTATTTTGTTGACATATTTAAAATGAGTAGTCACCAAGAAAATTATGAACTAGAAATTAAAGATTAATGGAGGATTTCCTAAGCATAAAATTCAAAGAATGGAAAAAATGTATTACCAGCCAAAAGAAAAAATCATGGGGTTACTCCCTATTTTTAGGCTATATCATTTAAAAAAACGATAAAAAAACATTGGTGGTTTAAAGTTTTGTGACACAATCTTTATAAAAATTTAAGTTCAAAAATGTTATTCATTACTCATCCTTTCATTTGTCTGATGTATTACACGATAAAAGCCTTCAATATTTAAAAAAAAGGTAAAAACAATCCCTCCAATTGCAATTAAAGGTTGTATAAACTAACTTTAAAACTGGGTCCACTGCATTATCAATTATCCATATCATTTAATATAAACACTAAAATCAAATAAATATGACAAACATACAGGGGTTGAACAAAATAATGAAAACACCTCACTTTTTTGAACTCCAAGTTTTGAAATTTCTTAAGATGGGAAAATGCAGTGATATGGTAATATAACTATGCATTAAATTATCTATATCACTAAGTTTGTCTTTATACGAATAGTATGTTATTATATTTGCAGAGGGAAATAGTAAAAATGTTAAGTAAATGATTTGTAAGATCTCCAAAGAGGCACGCCTGTAGGTGTACATCTAGATTGATCCTAAGGAAGGTGAACAGCTAAAATTGTGATCGTATCCCAAGGAACATTGTCAAAAATGATATCTCTATGGATATCAAAAACTAAAACAACATCAGAAACAAAATAGTAGGCAAAAATTAAGGTAAAAGATCATAATAGGTGAACATTAATACAATTAGTGAAAGATGTAAATAAAAGACTACAACGTTAAGTGTGTGCAGAACATAATGCTTACATAAAACAACAATTTTCTGTCTAAACACTTTGAAGGATCAGCATAAGGTGGGTTACCACAGTATGTTTGCCAATCAGATATCTCTAGTAACACCAATATAAAATCCCAAGTAAAATAATTATCACCACGGTAAAACAAAATAATATGTTTAATCTCTGGAACGTTTTGGAATTTAAGCATTCCATCATCAGCTATCTAAAATATTTGCATACAAGATATATATATATATATACACACACGGTCAAATTAGTTAACATCATTTATGTACTGATAACTTCAAAATTCTTATATTGTGATCATTAAACTACAACATCCTGGTAAAAAAAAAAGTTATGTACCTCAAACGAGCATACAAGCTAAATAATAACCCCAGTTTCTTTCAGATCTACTTGATTCGATACATTCATTTTATTAAATTGTATTCTTAAAATTCTTGTAGAATTCAACTTATTTCTTTCTGTCTGTATATTTTGTATACATTTTTTCTATATTAAAACTTGTACTTTTTGTTGGTTCATATACGTATTTATATACTACAAATGTATGTTGTATGAAAATATTTCAGATCACTGATGATGAAGATTAAGCATGTTGTTTTGTTGTGGTGATCCTATTTTTAATTAAGACTCCATTTTTTGCCTAATGAATCTATTGTCCATGTAAAATGTTTATAGAAATATAACAACTGAACCAAAGATCAATGGAACAATGTAGTTTGGTCAGATATATCATATTTTAAACACTTACTATCAAATAAAAATGTGTTTATGTGTAAAGAAGACCTAAAGAAGCTTATAACCCAGTGTTTTGTGCCATTAATTAAGCATGATGGAGGCCTTGTAATGGTATGGAATGATATAGACCTGAAAGGTGAAGAGATATCAAATAATTATTTAAATCCTTTTTTTGATGGCCAGGTACAGCCTATGATGTACACTTTATTCCCAAATGGAACTGGTCTGTTTCAAGAAGACCTTGCACCAATTCATACCATTGAAATGGTTAAAGATTAGTTCAAAGGACATGAAAAATAGTATGAGCAATTAACTTGGCCATCATAGTCACCATATTTAAATGGTGGTAAGTCCTTGAAGCCAATACTTTAAGCTGATTTTCACCACCAACATCACTGGCTGATGCACAACACCTTGATTCATCAATTACACATTGTGTCAATGCAGTATTGGCTCATGAAGGGCCAACTCTAAGTTATTAAAATGAAATTATCTGGTGTTTCCATCACTTTGTCAAACCATTGACATGTTATTGCTAGGACTTAAATTAGGCAATAATTTGTAATAAGCTATTGAAATTGATTGACTAAAACCTCAAAATATTTTATTAAATTCAATATTAAAAGTTGTATAAAAATAAAAACAATTATTCTTTAAATATACAACATATTATATATGTATATATATTAAAATAAACTTTGTATTAGTAACAATATTTTCACACACACACACGAGACACACATGCATCAACTTTTAGGTTACTAGGGAATTTAAGACATTATTCAATTTCTTAGTAACCTACAATACAAATATAAATTAACTGAATTATTGGCTTGATTCTTTGGCACACATTTTTCTAAAAGTAAGTTCATAGTTGTTTTAGTAGAGTTAAAAAGTTTCACACTCATATGCAGTGGCAGTAATGTAAGAAAATCCAGTAATGAACATAAAGAATCACCATGATTTAAAAATTACATATGTACAACATTACACTCAAACTCAATTACAAATATTAAAACTCTTTTTACACATACTGATTTTAAATGTCTGTGTAAAAACTAAAGACTAACCATAATGTAATTTTTGTTCACATCGCTTGCATATTCCATGTGGAACATATCAGCTCACGTGAGTACTTGAGCCTTGTTACATCTCTAAAAGATTTCAGAAAAATTCACTCACACATGCATGGAAGTCCTAGGTACATGCTATACTTGTGTAAAAAAAATTACAGAATGCTTAGATTAAAGGTCACTTAGGTTTGCACTCATCTCCAAGTCAACATGGTCCAGTATTAAATTCTTCCAGTGGAGCCAAGAATAATTAGAGTTAAAACTCCAATCACCACTAGGACTAGGATTATGATGATAATTTTTTTCTAGGAAGGCAAAATAAAAAATATGTACAATTAAAATTATATATATATAATAATAAAAAATATAATATCAAACAATTAACATCAGACCTGGCCTAAAATAATATTTACATTTATTTTCTTTCTTTTTTTTGGGTTAAGTTTATAAACATAAATAATCTAAATACAAAAATTAAAATTAAATCACTTTTCTATATT